ATGAATTATAGTAATCAACTTGCATCTAAATACTAACGATTAAACATAAATTGTGAGGGAAGTGAGATTGTTTGAGTACCGAGCCAATTATCAGTTCTTCATATATCTTTAAAAAAATTGAATAAACACAGCTCTTATAACGTGTAATGAGTGCCAAAATCAGGAACGAGCACCAAGGGTTCGGATAGTTGTGCCTCACTGTTGCATCTAATAACAAGTCGTTCAGTCATAACGGTGATTAAATAAAAAGAAAGTAACCTGCCATGAGCAGGGCGACAGGGACTATCCACAAAAAGGTCAAGAAAGCTAATTATAGTTATTGGGAAGTTTACAATCATCAATTTGCTGAATTAGACTGTGAGTTAAAAGAAAAGATTATGACAGTAAGAGCTCTAGTATTCTTCCTTCACTTTATGATAAGGCCAAAGGGTTCACTTCATCCCTTACTTTCAAACTAGTTGAAAGGGATTATTATATTAAAAGAGCTGAGCATGGACCGGGAGCTAATAAATCATAATTTTGAATGTCGTTGTTATTCATTTAGCTTTGCTGCCCAAAAGGTATTCTTATCCATTTTTGACTGAGTCTTATCAGCACCCCCAACGGAAATCTAACCAGGATAGTACGGCTAGCATTTTTTACATGCCACCGCCGTTCTACACTGCCACTGGTGCCAGTGGTCACGGGGCAGATGTACATTTCGAGGGAAAGCAGGTCTCCCATGTCACGTTTGTAATAGGATTGTCGAAAATATACAGTACTATCGGTCTCGATTCCTGATTGGGGTTCAAATGGGACCCAGAAGAGGCTGAAAATACAGTTTGTCTTGCATAATGATGTATTTTGGGAGGCAAAATTAAGGGTAAATTAGGGGACTGCTTTTATCATTGTGGGAGAATGCAACTACCAGTTATTTGTCACCCTATTAAATCTAATGTGATTAAAGCTCTTAAATAAGATCTACAGGTAGTCTCGAAACCTACTAATTATGAAAATACAGTATTAAAATGTTGATGCCTATGAGTTCAAACAACTGGAGGTAAAACATAATTAGAATAATGATATTAGTCTTGACAACAATTGGAGATCGATCATCGCAACTTATCTGCGAGTTGAAATTTTCTAGTAAATTATCATAATATAGTGTGGGAAAAATAGGAAAAATTTAAAAAAATAGCTCTTGCTTACAGTGTACCCACGCGTTTTCACAAGGTCGCGGACAATCTGCGGCTCGAGGCGCGAAAACCAATGGCCAGAGAAGACACAATTGGAAAAAAGCTCAAGTTCACCAAGCATAGCGCGGCATCGTTTAGTCAGTTCCTCAGCCGGACACATAGGGACTGAAATGACCTCGGAGGAGTCTTCAATTGAGCTGCTATTCAATGTCGGTTGGTTAAGCAGTTGCGCTTGCGAAATTCCTTCATCTAGATTAGTATTCCCAATAATGCTATCATGACAGGCAAGGGTCGGCGTAGGACTATTTGTTTTAATAGATATAGGCAGAGCTCCAGACTCACAGTGGTCAGAAACGGTATCTGAGCTTGACTTGTGAATACTGGCGCTGACGTTCAATGAGATCCCCTGACCGCTACACGAAGTCCTTACAAGAGAGCCAAGGGATCTGGGATCGGTGTGTAATGTATTAGCAGAGGATGCTGCTAAAACTGACTTATCAGAGGAGTATTGGTCAAGGAAATCGGAGACTTCCTGGAGACGAAAACCAGCAAGTATGTTGTAGAAAAAGCATAGGAAATACAAGAGATAATAATCTTATTAGAAAAAGTCTGAGATAAGACCATAGTAATTAAGAGTAATGACGGCAGAAAGCTGGCAAAAAATGTTAAAAGTGTAAAATTAAAAAAAAGGATGGTAAATACATGGCGAAGCATAAGACATATTAAAATAGTCGTCTAACTTTCGTATTGGTGAAATTAGGTGAACATGTTTTTCATGATAAGTGTGTGCAAAAAGAGTATTGTGATGCATGACCTTAAGGAACAAATAAGATGTAATCTAGTTTAAATACTTTGGGGCAGGTCATTTTGTTGATTACTAAATTGTATTGTAGTGAAAGACTGATCACCCCTGATTTGATAGCCCCTGACATTAATGTATTTGTGCCAGTAACAGAATTTAGCTACTCAGAACAATGCGGCCTCAACTACTGAGTGCATGATGTCCTTTTCCCCTTTTGACCCGGCAACATACTTAACATGTTGCTATTGTCACTACTTAACCCATGTTCGGCTGTAGTCAGTAGAGCAAGCTGGTGCAGTGAACTTTGCTTATTTGAATGTTTCAATGACCTATTCTATAAGCTAACAAAGGCGTTGCATTTACTGGCTTGGCGTTGCCTAAGGAAACGCATTGCCTTGCAAAGCCGATCACTGTGCCTCCAATCAAAGATCAATCTGGAAGTACTAAAAGTAATATGAAGACAAGAGCGACTAAGATAATACACAAAGAAAGAACACCTATACGCGAATATCTCTGATATCTAATTCTCACAGGGAAGCAAAATAACGATTAAATTTATGTTAAGTAGGTTTTCGAAATATTTATGCTAACTTATCCCTACCTTTTTCCCTGGCAAAAAAAGAATACTCTTACTTGAAGATATAAAGACTAAGATGGTATGACCTTTTGTGTGGTCTCAGTCTCCTTTCGTTGCATAGAATATGTTTGACCTTGTTTTCGCAACTTGGTCATATTGGTGAGAAGACATAGTCCGGAGTCCATGCTATGCATGATCATTTCCAAAGTCGGACTGTGGATGTGGTAAATTCTCAGACGTTTCGCCGGCATCGTCAGTGAGTCTTGCCATTCTTAGCACATTAAAACAACTAGTCGAAGAGACAATTGAAGCCGATCCTTTGACCAAATGTGTGCTAAGCAGTTGTGGCATCACTCCTGTCCTGGGCTTTTCACTTTTCCTATATCCTCGTATCAAGCCTTCAGTATCACACTTTTTTCCTTGCTTACTTAAGTGTAGTGTGGTGTGCTATTTTGAGCGGCTTTCATGAGGACCCTCCACACTCCATGTTCTCACCCCCTTCGCCCTTGTGCTGGGAATGTTGATCAGAGTCTGCCATATTGTTACTCAGTCCTCCTTTCCTATGTCTTATTAGTCTCCATCTTGCCCCGTAGGATCCGTTTGCCATCTCCCTGGTTGGAAGTATTTCATTCGACCCCTGCCACCCCATCTGTGCTTCACGACGCGTTATTTCGCACACTGCGTGTACTAGACCAACTTGAGGCTAAAGACACCGCGTAATTCTCATAATCAAGCCTTTGCTTTATGGACCACGTCTATGGAAAACAGGCCTACTGTCAGCCAACTAGTTCTAGTCTCCTCCGCGTCTACCCTGTTTCTATCCGTAATAACGAGTATGTGACTTACTATGCCCTTGTGATTAGGGCCTAGTCTCTTGTATGCCAATCCACAGACGTTGTGGTTTAACATTGAACATAATCAAAAGAAGCAGGAAATAACGCAGATGGAGTGGCAGGGGTCGAGTGAAATACTTGAACTAGAGAGATAGCAGAAGGAGCAAGAGGGAAATTCAGATAAGACCTATGGAAGAAGAATTACGAGACAATATAGAAGACTCTGATCAACATTCCCAGCACAAGGGTAAAGGGCGATGAGAAAGCCAGTGTATAGTGTGGAGAGCTCTCATGAAAACCGCTCAAATGGGCACATCTCACCTATTTGATTCGATTTAATTTAATCTGTTAAATTATATAAGATTAGATTAAGTTTTAATTTTTAAAAATTTGTTTTGAGTTGATTTTATTTGTTTCATTTCATCTCATTTTATTACTTCTCATGAGATCTTAAGTAAGGAAAAAAAAGTGTGATAGTGAAGAGGTGATACAAGGATATAGGAAAGGTGAATAGCTCAGGACAAAAGGATAGATACCACAACTGTTTAGCACACGTTTGGTCAAAGAATCAGCTTCACTTGTCTCTGACGCGTTGTAGTATGTTGCTAAAAATGGCAAGACTCACTGACGATGCCGGTGAAACGTATGGGAATGTACCACGTCCACAATCCGACTCTGGAAATGATCATGCATAGCATGGACTCCGGACAAGGTGCGTTCCTCTAATTCTTCCTACTAATATGACCAAGTTGCGTAAACAAGGCCAAACAACTTCAATACTTTTACTTCTTAAAACCAGATTTACCCAAAAAAATTGACGTTGTTGGTGACCACTCGAAATGCCGTGATCGAATATTCCATATTAAAAGTGTATTTTATAAGGTAAAGCACTAGAATTTTAGAAGTGGTTTTCACAATTTGGCCGTAGTACCAAAGAAACCTAGAAGAAGTCCGAGCCTTCTGTTCAAGTAGTTAATAATTCCCAGTGTTGGACCGTGGAGTTAATGCATTCCCA